ACCCCTACCGCTCGATACAAAAAGTCCATCACAATTTGAATCCTCAATGTAGCTAAACTACTAATCCAATTGCTTGGAGGCCGCTGGCTGCTCCACCCCTGAGATTATGGTTCGAGAGGATGGAGGAGCTCTGTTCAGTTGAGGAACTTCACTGTAGGGCAATGGAACACTACAACACTGAGATATGGTCACACTGGCTCCTAACTACCAACACAGAGAACTTTTGAGTTCTTCTGCAGCCTTTACATTCATACTAAGAGTCTCACCTTTCCCTCATTGGTCACCCTTCACTTTACACCTTTTAGTTCTACTCAACCACCACATTCATTTAGCTGAATATGTAAACTCTCATGCCACTTCCCCCTTGATCTCCTATCTCCCATATATTTTATGCCTTAACAGTGCATTCAACGCAGCAAGAATAGTGGGATTGTATCCCTCTTCCCTAAGAGATTACTAGAACATTGAGATGGAAATAGTACCCTGACAAACGTGAGAGGTTTAGCTCACTCAGTTTTATAAGGTTTAGTTGTCACCTCTTGCCAATTCTATTCTGTAATCAAAAATGGGACATGCATGTCTCAGAATATGTTGTTGTTATAAATTGTCTATAGGTCCTGCGAGACTTACTCACTTTTGATACTGATGGACCTGCGTGTCCAACTTTGTCAATGATGTTGATGATGCTTAATGATGCTTCATGGTATTTCTGATTATATGATGATACATCAGAACAAAACAAAATAGTATTAGATTGTTTTTAATTATTCTTTGCCCCCTGTACCTCATTCACTATTATTAGTATGAGAGGGTAGGTAGGGTCATATTTTGAAAGAGTGCCTAGTGACTTGGAATCCTCTAGTCCCCCAGGGGATGGGTGGTAATTTTGTAGGTGCCGGAGACAGGACAACTCTTAATGCTTTATGGGGAATTATTTCTAATAGGGATTATTAGCATCCCCTGAGTCCTATTGGCTCGTATGTAGTAGGAATAGAGATGACTATATCATAAGGAATCCAGGACTATATTATAACCTATATATATGTGGCACCAGGGACCCCTGCAGGGATTATTAAGGGTAAAAGTATTTCCATTTACCCAATGTATTGGCAAGTATCGTCCCCTCTGTTCAGTCCTTCTTCTTTGGAGTTATCATCCTTTCTGCCTGTTCCTTCCTCCATGCAGGTATCATTATTTGTCCTGTTCTTAAAATCATCTTGGGAAGATCCATAGGCTACATGAGCCAAAGTGACAGCTCTCTGCCAATAGGTGTTAAGATTCTGCAACAGGTCCCATAGCCTTTCCCAAGGGAAAATTTTTCTGCAGAAAACATAGCCTTGACATTTTATGGCCTTGAGCTTTTTCTATGAATTTTTGCTGTAAAAGTAAGGCATGTAGCTACTCAGTTATTACCTGATAAACCTTATATGATTATCGCTTTTGAGAAAGCATTTGGCAACCGGTGACGTCTCTGGCAGCATAACCTAGTTCACTTGCATTGATATAGAACCTGATTTTACTCCAACTCCAGAGGCTGGCTGATTTCTTGCTGCATCAGGACTCGAGTTCCAGTTTCAATCTAGGCTATAAAGAGTAATAGTCATCTGCTCAAGGCCACCAATAAAGACGCACTCTAGGCAACATTACCAATACAGCTCAGTAAAGTGGTACCAACAGGAATTAATGAGTGCCACCCCAAATTTTTGTTTGAGTCTCTATTTTTGTTAAACTGCTCCCAAATAGATTTATTAATAATGTTGGCCTGCACTTCTAGGCTCTTGGCGGAAAAACTAAACTGTAGTGTTGATGCTGACTAGAGTGCTCCTTTATATCGCCAGTGAAAGGCTGACCGACCCACTCCTGGGAGATATGTGGCACAATGGAAGGATTTGGACATCAGAAGAAAAACTTCTTGTAATCACCGCGGAGCTTGGTGGTTGACTACATTCAGCCCCAAACATTTAATTTGAAAATGTGTTCACTTTCAGATTTATCAAACTGCAGACATTGTACTGCACATAAAGTCCTCTATGACCTCCAAAACAAGAGACCTTGTAGAATAAAGCAATGTCAATACCTTAGGTGACTGTTGCATGGCAACAAATCTCACAGTCTACTTTCTCCATCACACACAATAGTATTCCAACAGCTTCTGTACCTTTCGTTCTCGATTATGAAATAAG